TTTTTTAAAAGCTCTTAGAAACATAACATTATATATAACATTATAGTTAACAATTATATATTTTTTATAACCATATACCTTTAGTATATATATAGAGAGAGAAAGAGAGAGAGAGAGAGAGACACACACATACATTTATAAAAACGTTTGATGTTTTGGCTGGCAATGGGAGCATAGGTAGTCTCAGAGAGAAAAACAGGTGCCTGGGATTGGGTCACTATGTTATGCTGGGGCAATTTTTGTATTTGTTTTTTTATACATCGGCACAGCACGTTTCAGAAATCCGAATTTTTGCAGCTTCTCAGAAAATCTGGATTGCATGCAACTATCGGTGGAAGAAGACCTTGCAGAAAAGGAGCCGCCAGTGCCTCGAATGTGGAGGGCAAGTGTAGCTGCGGGTAAGGTGCATAAGGTTTAGTTAATATTATTTGAGAAAGTTTTCACTCAAGGAAGATAACAGGATTTTTTTCTTTGCTCTGTGGGTAAGACTCTTTAATTATTCAGGCCTTCTTCTCGATGCATGCTCATGCGAGTGAGCAGTAGCAAAAACTTCAGAGACTAACTGCTACCAAGATGGAGAGTTTGTGTGTTCTTTCATTTTTTCTTTGTGTTCTTCATATCTTTGATTATTATGTTGATAGATTGGAAGTTAAAACAAAGGAGAGACTCAAATGTCCACGCGAGAAGATTCTGAAACGTAAAAGGATAATGGTGGAGCTCTAGAAAGTAGGGTGGGGCTGGTGGCTTGGAGTCTTTCTCCTGCTCTGCGGCCCTGGGATCCATATGGCTGTTGCGTGGAAGGTTAGTTTTCGTTTTCTTGTGTGCTGGTCTAAACTTTAGTTCGCTTGCAGCTCACAACGCAGTGTTTTGGAAATTCACTAATATGGCGCACAGTTTCATATTTGTTTTTGAAAGTAGCTTTATTCTCTGCAGGATAGAATATTCAGTGAGGCATCAAAGAGGCCTAAGCGGAATGTGGATACTCTTCCCCAAACACCTCGCTTCTATGGGGGGAAAAGACTGGACGCAACCACACCTGATCCCTGAAATAGTTGGGACGGTGTAGAGAAGATCAATCTCGTCAAATAGATTCTCAAATACACTTCCACCCCGATAAATTTCCCCACAAAAGTAAGAGCAACCACATCCAACATCCCTTGTAGCTCAATTATTTTCTGACTTTCATTGGCTTTATTGACATTGCATTGACTTTCTTTTATCTCGTAAGCATAAACCCAGAAAAAAGTAAGAAAATCTGAAAGGAAAAAAATTCCCCACCAGAATGCAAAGACAAACAGATCCAAAGGATTCCTGTGCCCTGGACTCGCATTTTCAGAAGTATACTTTATATAAAAAAATCATTTCTTCCAAAAAAAGAAGTTCATACTAAAAGTTTGCAAGTTTGCTTGCAATGGACGAGGATCACGGAGAGAGAGAGAGAGAGAGAGAGCAGCCCAATATGTATGTCGGTACTTATAAGCTGAGAACTTGCCTGAGATTCATGGGACTGATGTCCGACGGGGGCCCGTCCAGCAGTCGGTCCGTGATGATCTTGTTGACAGCCTCCGTTGGGTGATACGGATCCCACCACAGGAACGAGCTCCGGTCGGCGCACAGCGTCGACGCTCCAGTGCATATCGCATTCCCATTGAATGCGCCTTGTCCACAGCACGCGTCCCTCACATTTGATAGTCCTGAAAACACACAAAAAAAAGAGCATGAAACTTCAGCTGTCGCTTTCGAGATCTCGAGCAAAACCACGTATACGTACCGTATGATCCTCCGTTTGCCATGATGTCCATGAGCATGTCGTAGCCGTTCGAGTAGAGGAACACGGATCCGGGGTTCTGCTGCGTGAGTTGAGACAGCATTGGACGAAGCAGCGAGTTGAAGTGCTGCGCGTACTGCTGGAGGTCCGGGAGGCACAGCCCGCTCGGGGGACGCATGGACTTTTGCGAGGGGATGCAACCGATCGGGCCCATGTTGGACACGACGATCTTGCGAGCACCCAAGTTGGAGATTTGCTGCGGAAACAAAAGAAAGATCGAATCACAACAGTGTACCTTCAGCTATTACGATGTATACCTGCAACTGGTCGCGCAAAGTTGACACCAAGAGCGAGTTGAACTGGAAGGGACTGAGCTGGGCTCTTCGCGCGGAGCCCGGCAAGAGGTAATTGTTGATGTAATCGTTGCCACCCACAGTCACCGAGACGAGCGAGTTTGCTATGAGCCTCCCGGTTGCTTGGGGACCGATCAAGGACGAAACTTGCGACTGGTATCTCTGGAAGAGACCGATCTGCTCGGGCATGGTGATGCGTCGGAGCTGCAAATACCCACGCACGCAGCGTTAGCACCGGATAGACTGAGGCAAAGCAAGCAAGCGTACAAAGATGCTTCCAGTGTCTGCTACGATCCCTGCTCCAGCGGAGGCGAAGTTACTTCCTCGCAGCAAGTCCCGACCCCTCGCAGATGGATCGAGAAATGGAAGCACCGGCTGAGCGCCCAGGAACTGACCTGCATTGATTGAGTGAGGCCTCTTAGAGCTCGCTGATCGATGAAACAAACAGAAGAGAGGGAGGCAAGGGACCTACTTACGAAGTCGGCGATGAGCAAGCCATTGCAGAAGCGGCCAGTCGGGACTCTGTTCTGCGTGTCGATGCCATTCGGGAAGAAGTTTGCTCGGGCGATGGAGAGGATGTAGTCATTGTTCCCCGAGTCGACGAGCGAGTCGCCGAAGATGAACTGCGCAACCTGCTGAGCCTGTGCTGCGTGAAACGAGAGGATGAAACACAGGAGGAGCAGTGCGGCTGCCTTCATGGCTGCGTTACGCTGCTCGCTGCTATACCTGCGAGCGAGACCACTGGAATCTGAGCCAAGCTGAAGACAAATCGGAGCTTAGACACTGACTACCTTAAGATCTTCTCGCGAGAAGGCCTCCTCGAAGGGAATGGCTTTCCGCCTCGTCTACAACAACTAAGAGAGCACGCTGTGAGGCATGTGTGACAAGTAAAACACAGCGCACTACGAGCGCATTCAAGCCAAGGACGTCTGCGCGACGCGGAGGAAGAATCATTCACATGCAACGCAGCAAGAAAACAAAAGAATGCAAGAAAATGCTCTATGAATGCACGCAAGTCGGTGACAAACAAAGCCTGAAAACATCTACGCGCTCCGCTAAACTCACCGCCTTTTGTCCTTGGAAAGATTTCAGGATTTCTTAGTGTTTGTTCTCAGCCAGATCTCCTCTCCATCTTCCTGCGTAGAAACACTCTCTGAGAAAAAAAAAAACAGGCTGGAAACCATAAATGTGGAGCAAAGTGGCATTGTGGCAGGGGGCGGTAACTTAATGTTTGGTACCTATGAGTGAGCTCTACAGGATTGATTGATTGACTTGTATACCTTACCTGAATATTCGTCCATATTTTTACTGTGTGGACGTTTCCCACAGATGGAATCAATGGCATGGCTCCTTCATTTCTCTCCTCGGTTTCGATCAAAGAAAACCAACCACGATTTTATCCTTGGTTCCTGTTTTCCACCACCAGGACAAAGACAATTAGCTTTCGAAGTTCACTACCTCCCACAAACGAGAATTGAAGAGGTTGCTAAGATCCGAACACGGAACAATGTTTGTCGTCGCTCGCTGGCTGCTGCTGCTGCTGCCTGAGAGGAAACGAGTGTTGGTGACGAGTCAAATAGAACATTAAGGTGAGCTCTTACAGTGTCCAGCCAGAAAATTTTGGCGCTGTCGAAGGCCAGGGGCCAGAAGTACCGTCAACAACGAAACAAACTACTTATCAACAAGGATATGAGCTCTAGTACTGTCAACAACGACTAGAATGAAACTATACAAGCTTTAAAAATAGTTGGAAACTTACCAGTCTCCCTCCAGTTCTGAGTTACACAGTAGTAAAACAGTTGTATTCAACATCAAAAGGAATGCCGGATCGTGACACCATAAAAGCCAGTACCTTTGAGTTGGGAACTTTTAGCTCCTCACCAAGTTCCTGTTCTTGAAGCAACAAAGATAAAAGACCCAAAAACAAAGAAGGCGATTTGTAACTTCAAAACTTAACCCATGCTCTTACAAAATGCCACCTTCCCTCTCGAAGCTGTCCTAGAGGTATTGCACAGCCAAGCCTGGAAAAGAAAGAAAAGATTAATGAGTGACATAGAAGAAGGGGCAAAATGTCCACCTTGTCCGAGTCAAAGCCACTAGAGGTACTTCACGCTTGACGACTTCCGGAGTTATTCCTCACTGTCCTTTATATCTGCTCGGCTGCAAGAACGAATCAGTAAAAGGAAGAGGATCGACCACGCTAATACCTCAAGCTCGCTCTCACAAACTCCTCGCATCTTCATAGTCTACTGCAACCACAAACTGCCTCATTTTCTGCAAGACTGGAATATCTTTTCCATGGCCTCCTCCATCGCTGCTGCTCTTATAATCCTGCCATCCTGTGAGTGGATACGTCTCTTTGGGAACGCACGACCACAAGTTATACGAGTTCTTCTTCAACACAGCATCGACCTTCTCCAAACCGCTGGCTTTGACATCGCGTTTCTTAAACACCTGAACCAATATGTTGTCATCCATGGCACATGGAAGCGTCTCGGACGTTGGTTTCACGTACTTGCCTTTCCCCATTTTCGCTTTGAGATCCACAGCTGAGTTTGCCTCTTCCATCACATGTGGTGCAACAGCGATCGAAGTCTCCGCTGGGCGTCTCCCGTCCTCAAACACCTCCTTCACTCTGAAGTTGCCACCACGGGACAGAAGCCTATGAACAAGTGACTCGTAGAGTTTCCCCCACAGACCCCCCACCCAAGGACAGCTGAATGTATGTTTCAGAAACTTCACCATCGCTGCAACTCCAGCCTGGATGTACTGCTCTCCCAGCTCTTTCATCAGAGCCTCGCTTGCAAACCTCCGGCTCTTGACTTCCAAGTGATCATCACTTGCTACTATGTGAAGAACACAATCGCTCACGTTCTTGAAGTGCCCAGCACACAAAACAAGCCTGGCATCCTGGACGCTTGATCCTAGACGCTGGACAGCATCTCTAACCCTGTCCCTGCCATCCTTCAACTTCCATTTAGTTAGAATGTACCTCGCAACACCTCCCAAGTAATCGAATGCCTGGAGCGCTGTGGTTTTGTCCACCACCTTCATGCTTTCAAACTGACTTCTGTGAACCTCGAAGTCGCTAAAGAATGCCTCGACTTCCTCCCTGGACCACACCGATATGTAAAGCTTGAGGCAGTCTCCCGACTTCCCGAATTCTCCATAGTTGCTCTTCTGAGTCGAGCAAGTCAAGAGTATTTTGCACACGCCCTCCACCGCAGCCTTCTGCTTGCCATCAATCACTAGCCACAATGACGGGTCGTCCAACATATCAGTGATAACCTTGTCATCCATATCGTAAGCACCTTCAACGCAATGCCTTCGCAGATTGAGAACGTAGACAGTAGCACCTTCCTTCTTGTACAAAACGCGTTCGTGACCCATTTGTCCCAGCCTAGTAATCCAGTGGTAGCCGAAGAAAGTTTTTCCCGTTCCTGCAGTGCCGAGAACAATGAAAATGCGAGCCGTCTCCGTCAGCAGTTTGGTTTCCAGACTCGTATATGCCTTTCGTTTCCACAGCAGGAAAGGCCGGACAAAGTTCCCCAGCGGATCACGGTCTAGAATCCAGAACTTCTGATGGTCAGTCTCGCCAGCCCGCGCAAGTGACGCCACACCAGCTGTGAAGCAAACCAAATCAGACTAAAAAGCCAGAAACGAGATCACAAAAGCCGAGAGGCAAACAGCAACAGCAACAGCATCATGAACAGTAGATGAGAAAAGCTTCAAACAAACATTGCACGCACCACTACTTGAAAGTTATCAGCAAAAACTATGCCAGATCAAACGCAAAACACAACCAGAAGTGAGCATGCTTACCTGGCACACCTTTCACCTTTGTTGGTAGCACTGCAACAAAAAAAAAAAAAAAACAAAAATTAAAAAAATGTCAGCACAACAAGAGAAGAAAAGAAAACTTTAAAAAACAATAGAAACTCCGCAGGCAAGTGCATACTGACACAAAGATACATCACAGGGACTGAAACAAAGATCAACCCCCAGAAACACAAGATCCACACGAAAGTTATGGTTAGCCAGCACCCAAGTCAAGCAAAGACGTAAAGATCAACCAAAGACTCTCGAAGCACCACCATTAAAGCTCACGGATTCACACACACACACACGAGAAACCCATCTCAAAGCCACAGCTACTCCAAAAGTCCCGGTGCCAGCAAACGAATTCACAGAGAGGGGCTTACCTGGGCGAGTCACTCTGAAGAAAAGCTCGTCCCCTTTCTGGCAGACATAGCCAGAAACTTGAGGAGTGAGCGCAACCCACGCAGGCTTGGGCTTGAATCGAAGACGGTGGACTTCATCCCCGCCCTTTGCTCCTGCCGCTTCCTGGACAGCCTCAAGCGCACCAGAGAATGTGGTGCCTGCTGCCACCCCCGTGCAGGTTCCCCTCCTCCGAACCACATGCCCGCTTGGCTCTACTTCTTCCGCGCTTACAATGCAGTAGAAAAGCAGAACATCCCACTCCACATCCATGGCGTCTATGGCCGCCATTCAGAATTCAAAGCAAAACCCTATTCGCCCACACCATGGCATGAATCAAAATAAATATTTCAAATCTACATTCTACTTAGTGGGAAGTGAGCGACGATCTGGACGTCACCATAAATCAGCTGGATCACTGCGACAAGAATGGAGGGGCATAGGCCTATGCACTCAGAAACAAAGAGACAGAGCAGAGGACTATCACATCCTTGGCGTGAGGGAATAATCGTTACCCAGCAGTTCTGTTACGGGTATATTTTCTATTGACAAAACTATCTAATTATATATGTTTGTTTGATCTTCAATAGCAAATCTGGTGTTTCGCATTGCATCGAATTGAGCAATGACAGAGCTATCTAATTTATTCATTTTTTCATAAACAAGATTATAACTAGGTTTGTTTATCATGTTAAGCATTATCAGCATCTTAAGTTTATGGCCTAGTATCAAGCAAGTGGGTTAAAAAGTAAAACATTTTAAGATTTTCAAATGACATCTCAACATCATTTCTTTGAAGTGGCAGACAAATTTTCTGGGTGATGCATTTCCAAGGACATTGATACCTATACTGGAGAGTGGAGGAGACACCTACCTAGAAATCGAACTGTTTATTTATGTGATTTTTAGGGTTCAGGATGGCACTGCAATTGGGCATGTCTATACTCATGCTTAACAGAGAGCATTCTTGGCAGCAAAGAATGGACCTTGAACATGATCATAAGGATGATGGCTCATTCTTGCTCAAGACTTGACACTCGAGGAATAGAAGATAGGGAGGATAACTTTCCATTTCTTTTGTACCTTTTAGCATTTTATTTAGTGACTAATCTTGATAATCCATGTGGCAAGCAATAGAACCAAAATATGACCCAACCACTAATTGAGTTATGAGTTAGTAAAATCTTGCACTCTTTGGGGTAAAGACAAGTAAAATGAGTAAGGAAGGGGATCATGTCTTAACAACCTTTTTTGTTATTCAATCCAATCTAGGTATTCTTGTTTTCTCAAGTCAAAAAAAAAAACAACTTGAAAGGTCTATTGAAGATAGGGAAATGACATATAAATATAAGTACACTACTTTTTCTAATTAATTGAGAATTTTGGGATACATAAAGTAAACATGAGTTTGAGTTAAGGAATTTATATATGGTATCAAAGATGTCTCAAATTCAATTTTGTTGATTGACTAAAAGAATTGCATTATAAATTAACATTGATATTTGTCTAAAAATCAAGTTTTCTCACTGGATTAAACTTGTGGGGTAAAATGTCAAAAGAGTGGGGCTTTTAACTTTTATTCACAAAAGCATGAACTTGCAAGGAAATATAATAAATTACAAGTATGAAATTGTTTGAGGGGTTTTAAGCAATTAAGGTTTATTAAGATTCAAAGAAAAAAGAAAAAAACTCATCAATAAAAGTGCACCTCATGTTCTAATGGGAAGTCCACAATAAAAAAGTTATAAACCTTTTACCTATCAAAGCATATTTTGGCATCATTTGCCTCTTCAAGCTCCACTTTCTATTAACACTACTGGCTCTTTCGAAAGTGTAAAACAAAAAAGAAAAGATAAAAAAAAAAGGGAGACAAAGAAAAGAGGAATTAGGTAAAGTGGAAAGATAATTGGGTTTCTTATTATTTATATCAAAGTTAATATTGAGAATAAATTTAAGATAAAAATATAGAATTGCAAAAGTTTTGAAAAGTTTGTAGTTGTGTGTTTTGATTTTGACAAAAATAATACCTCTCAATAAAACAACAAATCTAGAAAACTAGATGGAAGATTAAATCAAAAGCAATGGAACTAATGTCATTGTTTTTAAGGGAACCAAAATCTCTATCATCTAGCAATCTTCAAGCAGACACTAGCAAATAACCAATTATCAAAGGGACTATCAAATATGACAAACTAGTGTTAGTAATTCATTAGAAAATATTTGTTATAAAAAGATTAAGATTCAAGTGTTTTTGTCAAAATAATGAAGGTTATACATGAAAGATGATTTACTATATAGATTATTCATTAAAGATCCAAAAGATGCAAAAATCTTTTGACACTCTTATTAACAAACTTTGAATTGAAATAACTCTTGTTATGTTTCTTCCTTTGATTATTCAACTTCACTTGCTCTGTTTATTAGTTTTATAAAATTCTCTGAATTCAAAATAGTGCCATATTAGTAAAACTTTTAATCTATGTGGCATTGTTTTAAATGCAATGAAATAAGGGTTATTCTAAATTCTATGGTAATTTATTTCAATTGCTAAAACATGAGAAACATTGCTACCATAAATTTTACTATTTCTTATTTAGAATCTATATATACTTTACATTAATGTTTTTTAAAACCTAGTTAAAAACCAAAAAAAAAAACATGATTACTACATTCTACTTTAGTTTTTTCTCCAAAAATGAGAAATGTTTCTTTTGTCAATAGTTTTTTTTGTGCTTCTTATTATTAGCTTTCCCTCTCACGTCATGATTTAAGGAGGTGCATGCCTCTAAGTGTTATTCATACCATAGGGAGAGTTTGGGCGGCAAAAGGAATATTCATTTATTTATTCATTAACTGTTTATAAGGTCTTGTGGTACCCACCAAGAAGCATGAGACTGACTGATTATAGTAAGTTGTTTTGATTATCTCATGAGCCATTTGTTCGTTGAACTCCTCCAGGTCTTCTACCACCACCTTTGGCTTTATTGGCCTGCCTATTGCCCCTGCTGATGCCTCTTGGGTTGGAACCTCAATATGATCCTCACCTAGCCATTAACATTTGTAATGAAAAGTGTTGTCACCTTGTTTTGATTCTGACTCAATTGCAATATGTCACAAGCATGGCATCAATGACTAAGGATTGGTGCTTGATCTCCATTTCTCATAAAAATTCACAGATGCCCTTGGATCAATGTTCACCTGTGAGAATTACACATAGAATTGCACCTCAAAGGACCCATGGTTGACATAGTGGAGCATAGGTTGAGCACATGTTCACCAGATCTCCACATCTTCAACTTCTTTATAACATGAGGGGCAGAGGCAAATATCATATAGTAGCAATGGTCTCAAGTGACATTTGAGTTTTATTATCAATCTATGATGCTTTGTTCTATAGCCAGGATTCTCTAATTGTAGGGGTGAGCTTATTGTAGATTGTGAAACTAAATTAGTGCCTTAGGTTGATAGTGTTCACATAAATTCTAAAGGGGACACTATCTTTCATCTGAGCATTTGTAGCGACTGTGACTTCGGGTATCAAAAGTTACCTGTCAACCAGTCCTTACGGACACTCTTACCTTATTGCCACAATGGCAGGAAGTCGGTATTGCTGGACCCTTTATTAGCCCCTCTTGTTCAAGTGTTAATAAACTGAACTTTGCATCTGTACTTGGCCGGATGAGCATAAGAACGGAATTCCTAAGTGTCTATTTAGCTAAGCATACTTGGCTTGGCTTTTTAGTTCTCTTTTGCTCTGTCTTGCACTGGCTTGACAAGAACCCTCACGTGTTGAGATTGGTCCCTTAATATCGCTACATGATAGTTTACCATGTTTGCCAAACACCCTCGCTATCATGCCCTTTGTGTTGGTCTCATTTTGGTCCCAAATACTATTTATGGAAAGTGTCTAGATTTGCTCATTTGGCATATCTACGGAATGTAGAGGTCGTCCTGAACACAATGGTGTTCGTCCAGTGTCCAAATTCGTAATCTAGGGACATTCCATATTTAGTAAGTTTTGAGTTTGTCCCAGAGACTAACTCCTGATACTAAGGGAGGCTTGGGGTGAAAGCCCAAAGCGTGTGTTCCTCAAAGGAAGGGGGGGTTGTAGGGGGTTCCAAATGTATAGTAGGGATAGTGAGTAGGTCAGGCATGGCTGACTAACCTGAGACATAGTCTAGTTTCCGCTTGCGTGCCCGTCCTTGTTCTGCATCTGGCTTGGGTCTAAGCCCAAGTTCCACACCATGCTAGCTGGTGGAGTACCCATATCCTCGCGTTAGGCCACCGGTATGCCGAAATAGCGCAAAACTCTATTTGGCTCCGTTTGGCTCCGTTTTGCGTGCTAGTCCTGGCATTAGGATGCTAGTTGCTCCAGGACTGTCCCAAGTTGCTCCGGGCTCCTGTCCCTTCACTCTTTGGGCTTTATGCTCAGGAGTTGCTTTGTGGTTCGGTTCCGTCACTTTTTGGCTTCGTGCTTGGGAGTTTGGCACTGTTCCTTCGTTCAGTGGCCCAAGGCCCTAAACCTCGGGTTTCTATGGACACGTGGCATGGACACGTGGCATATGACACGTGGCATCTGTCACGTGGCACATAGAGAGTTTAGGTTCCGCTTCGTAGTGTTATTTTATGGTAAATCACCATAGGATAAAGGGTCAAAACCACGTGTGCTACATTTGGTATCAGAGGATGAGTCTTAATGACTACTATTCAATGAGATTGGGCAACTCGTCTCGTTGCATACGCAGAGATGAAAACGATGATTCGAGTGGGTACACGTTTGGTGCAAAAGGCTTTGCAATTGTTCCTTGGGTATGGATTCGGTTACCTTGTTGTACCATATTTTGTGAGCTTGACCTTGGGCTCACAAGTGGGATTGAGTTGTTCCTTGTAGCATAAGTGAAAGTAAGCCTTCCCTAGGTTTGTTATGAGTGGCAAATAGGTTGGTCCGTAGCTGTTTAGCACGGCACTAGTGGATCCTTCCTAGGCATGGTTACAAGTGGATCAATCAAGGTTGTAGGGATTAGTCTATTAGTTCAAGTAGTCATTGTTGTGCTCTCTCATAAACTTTTCTTGAATTGGACTGAAGGTAGTGCGAAAGCAAGCTTGAGGTTTAGTCAAAAATGAGACCGAAAAGAGAGTTGTCAGAGACGGAGGATCAAACACGTAAATCATTTTCTCTCCTTAGAGATATGATTTGCAACAAGGTGTAACTCATTGCTCGTGTTCACAATATGCAATCAAGAGTCCCTACCTTGATGCATGTTGGAGATGATGGTCTTACAAATGGTGAGTTATGGGATAGATAGTAGTGAAGCGCTAAACCATTTTGTCTAGACTTGTGTAAGCGACTAAATTTTC